CGTCCATAGGAAAATAAAAAGTTGACTATCGGTGTGCAAAATTTAGATGGTTCAGAAAAAATCTGCCAATGTCATTCGAAGCTCCATCATAAAAAATTACAGAGACCCCCGTTTCATCAAAATCGGAATAAAAGTTTCCGCGGTATAACGTTTTTTAAAATTGGCATGTTTTCACTTTTTTACAGATATTTCAGGAACCATGACAGATAAAGCTGTTTTCAAGATGGATTCTCAATGAGCATTAGAATGCAAAACTTTTTCCTAATTTACCCGACCCTGTAGCTTACCATTTCGGATATCCCAATGGTGCAGCATTGTAAAAGTGACCACCCTGTAGAAGAAATGTTCTTTTTAGCCAAAAATGTGATTAAAGCGCATATCTACAACAAAATCATTTGAAAAACATCAATAAAACAGCAATTAATTACCTAAAATAGTTTTAGCCAACTTTTCGGGTCAAATACTCCTATGTGCGGCGTTTACTTTTTGAAGTGATAACGTTTTATGGCACGGTCCAAACCCATCGGAATGCGTTATGCGTCGATATGTCTGATATAGTTATAGGCAAGTAGCTACGCAGTTCTCGCTCGCACGCACACAGCCGTGTGAATATAATAGTGTGTAGTCTGTGGGACATTCGCGTGTATAGCTATTGTGTAGTCTATGGGCTGGTGTCCTTAGGAAACGTTTTCGTCCCAAATCGTACGAAAAATAGCGAATTATCTAATTTAATGCAACGTTCTAAAGCTCACCCACTAGATCCGAAATAATTCGTACGGATTCACACAAAAGTTACAATTACTTTTACAGGATTACATAATGATAACGTAAATACCAGCGAATCAACTATTGAAGAATATTAAATGTTGTAAATTAAATTTAAACTTCAGATCCATTTATAAATTATTAGACTAACAAAAATATCGAAATTATAAATTGGTATTGCCATCATCCGTTAAACAAGTTCAATTTTTTATGGTTTCTGTTTCTATAAATGATATAAAGTTAGCACTCTTGTCGACCGTGCCGTGGCGCACGGTTTTTTTTTAATTTAAACCTACTTTACTAGGTGCTTGTGGTGTTTCGTTGGTGATTTGAAGAACATTGCTTATAAATGTTGTATGGTGCCTGAGCGTAGCAGTACTGCGGTGTCTACACCATATCAAAACATTTACAAACCTTGAAAACTGTTGCTTCAAATGCTACGACGAAATCACAAAGGAATTTCATCAAAAAGCTGCATGTACAGGGCTATTGATTGAACTCAGGCCACCCCGTTTCCACGGGGCCATTTGAAATTTATAAAAGAACATTAAATACAACATTTGTAGACCTCCAGTTTATTTTAAGATAATACCAATTTATACAGGGTCTCAATTCCAAGTGGCGGACCACATAAACATTTTTTAAATGGAATGGCGCACTATTTATTGCGTAATCGAACTATACGCAAAATTGTAGACCTATTCGGTATGAATCTTCTATATTGATCTTCACCTGTTTCTGATGTAATTACCGATATTGAGAAAAACTTTTGCCACTGGTTATACCGGTAGTAGGTATCAACTTGCTTATTTAAAATGGAACACCCTATACATATATTACTATATTTTAGAATTCTGCTCTAAATTCTAAATTTATTTCATGTATACTATCCGATACCGAAGTTTAACAGTTTTTGATATATTTGATATTTTATGTAAAAAAATACAGTTGCAGCCATTCGAATAGTTATTAATTTTTCCTATAATGGAATACGTTCTACTTAATTTGAGTCATATTTATTGTTGAAAAGGACTTACTTTAATAGAATTTCGGCAAAATTTTGATAAATATTATTACAGTGTTACAAAAATAAGTTTAAAGATGTCGTTGAGAAAACCACCCAAAATATATTTTTTTTAATGGAAACCCCCGTTTTTGATAATTGTGGGACACCCTGTATAAGACTGGACGAGTATGAGTGAGCCAGAGTTGTTCCACGTAGCCAAAGATAGAGAAGCATTTAAATTAGTGAAATTGAAAATTGAAATTCTCTCCATTGTTGGGTTTGGTAAGAGAACGGGTACCCTAAAAGAAGCTGCTTAGGGGAGAGTAGGGAATCTCGGCCGTGGGGGTAACTCCGGCCATAAAGTTTGTCCCACCCTAACATAAAGGGGACATTTTGGACCGGTTGATGTGCACCTATCAATCACGTAAGAAAACCTACATCCAGTAGCGTTCACTGTTGTTAAATGCCTACAACTTCTGCAAAGAAAGAGGAATGGTTCTGCTGACAATCCCTCCACAAACGTCGCACAGTGTTCAACCGCTTGACGTTACTTTTTATAGTCCTTTGAAGGCAAGATATAATTCAGAATGCAGAAGGTTTTGCATTCCCTCCCTGGAAATTTGCAAACTACAAATAATAAAATAATAAGGCGACACCTGAAAACCATCCATTAGAAAATAAAATAACCGGAAAAAAGACAGACGAAGTAAAGCTTCAAGGCCGACACATTTGGTGAAGTCATTCTAAATCCCGTGTGTTCTGAAACTACTACCCAACGAAGAAAAAAATGGAGGAAAAGCAACACTACCAAATATTAACTTCTACTCCAATGAAAGATTTTTGGAGGCAAAACAGGAAAAATTGCGGGAAGGAAGTCATGGTCGAGAACAGCCAAAAATAAAGAGAGTAAAAAAATATGCTTTCGGTAACTTTGATTACATCAGCGTTTTAGTAAACAAAAACATCAATAAATGGAAGTAAACTTTCGAGACCATTCCTTGAAACGGGTGAGTTTTTCAGGTTTTTACGCCGTCGTAAAAAGAAGAAGTTCCTGTTTTAGACGGCGGAGTACATTTATATTATTTGTGGAAATTTCGGGAAAAATGGGGAACTCTGCATTTTTTAATTCTCCTCGAAATTGTAAATATATTTTATGTATAATATCCTATACTATAATATTTGAAATTTTATGTAAAAAATTACAGATGCAGCCACTCGAATAATTATTCATATTTCCGATAAGGAAAAATGTGGTACTTAATTTGGGTCCCATTTGACTTGTTGAAAAGGACTTACTTTAATGGAATTTCGAGAACATTTTGAAAACTAATACAAACTGTTAAAAAAAAGAAAATCAATTTTTTCAAATGAAAACTCTCATTTTTTATAATTTTGGCTTATTCAGTATTAAAAATAAGTGTAAGTTTGTGTAAGGTTGTCTATTCCAAAAGTGTTTAATTTTCGAAATATTACATATATTACGAAAGATACAATTTAGTATTTTCATATGACCATTTTGCCGCATCTGATTTTAAATCCTGTCACTCTTAGTTGCCATGACGGAAGTGGCCATTTTTAATACAATCAAATTCCAAAAGAATGCTGACAGCTGTCAGTTACCTTTTGAAAATAATTAATAATCATGCCAGGGCGCTTCAATTATACAAACGAAGATTATTTAAACTTATGTATTATTTATGAAGAATGTGATGAATGAAAGCTGTATCAAGAACATGTGACACATTTGCCATTCGATATGCACAAAAACAGAAGCACTCACAGTCTGATGTTAAACCAATTAAGGAAAATTTCAATTACTCTTATTTTCTATACTAAATAAGTTAAAATTGTCAAAAATTGGAGTTCCCAATTGAAAAACTTGATTTAAGGCGATTTTCTCAACGCCATTGTGAAACTTGTTTTTAACACTTTATTTGTAATTATGAAAATGTTGTCAACATTTCTTTAAACTAAGTCCTTTTCAGCAAAAAATGGGACTCAATTCAAGTAACACATATTACCTCATCCGAAAAATGAATAATTAATCGTGTAGCTGTAACTGCAATTTTTGACAAAAAATTTCAAATATATCAAAAACAGTTGATAGACTTGGGTATAAGATATTATACATGAAACATATTTAGAATTTGGAGTAGAATTTAAAAATATAATAATTTATATGGTGTTCAATTTAAAATAAGCAAGTTGGCACCTACTTCCGGTATAACCGGAAGTGTGGCCGTCTTGAAAATATTGTAAATCACTTGCCCCCAATCACTTCGGCACACTGTTCAATTTTCAAATTTCTCTTAATTATAGTTTGCCAGATATCGATCGCGGCGGTTCCCGATGGGACACCTTGTACAAATGGACAAAAAGGGTTTTAATTTGCCTCTCAAGAAAAACAGAACGGAGCGTTGGCGGGCGAAGTACAGAATATTGCAGAGGAAGAACTGGATTTAAAGAGCGTTTATTAAAAACACGCGGAAGAGACCGCCTACATCCAGCCGTAAATAGGTACAGGCTGAAGAAGAAAAATATATTGAAGAATGTATGCTGAATCCTCAAGTTTGCTATGTTCCAGTTTGTTGTGGATGTAGATGCCACAACAGGATGGTTTAAAATTGGCGTCATTCCTTGTAAGGTGTTAGGGGGGCTCACTTAGAGAGTACAAGATGTAAACAATTTAAGATCGAATTTCAACTTTGCTATTAAGATAAATTTTGAAACTGCAGCAACCTCCAAATCTTTTTTTCAAAGAAACTTCTAAAATCTTTAATCAGTTCAGCTTCACTAGTGGAAGCAGGTAGCTTTCATCAGCAGGTAAGGCTCGAAAAAACAAAACAATAGAGCCATAAGTTTCGTTCGGTATTAGTAAAATATAAAATTTATTCTTACCTGTTTTTGCGGATCTGATAATACTTTGGCAAAATAATAAAAGTGCTCCTTGATAATCTTGCTTTTCCATTAACAACTCAGCTTCCAAGCGTTTCTTTTGAGATATACTGGCGTTTTTTTGTCGGTAAACTTCTTGAACGTTAATTAAAAAATCCTGTAGTAATGTTTTTGTCTAGAAATTAATTTATTACAATGTTGATGCACAACGGAGCGCATACTTATACTTACTTTATTTGACTCATAGACACACTTAATTCGGTCTTGATCGGTGCTTAATTTCCCGAAAACAGTTTTCACCCATTCAGGACCCACATGGTTCAATAAATGTTCAACAAAGTTCATAAAAAATCCTTGCGAATTTGACTGAAGTGTTTTTTCACTGCACAAGTTTCTGTATTGGTCGTCTTCAAATATTTTGCTAGCCATTTTTCAATAAAAGTTCAGCAGTTCAATCGTGCTATTAGACTCAAAGAAAATGTTTTACTTTACACTCTCAATGTCGGTTATTTAGTACTAAAAATAGGTACGTTGACACACCTGTAAAATCCAAAGCTTCTGAGAGGCTAATTTTAGAATATGGAGCTCCGCCATTATTTTCGAATAGTTTAAAACCGTTGTGAAATAATATGTATTAAATAATCATAAACAGATATTTAATAGTTCTCCAACTACAGTAACCCAAACTGGTAAACAGAGTAGAGTGCCTTTGGATTAGTTCGTACTTACCTTACCATGATTAAATAATTTTTCTATATTTGAATTTATATGCAAAATAGCATGATACTAAATCAGTATTTGATTATCGCATAAGAGTAGATTAGATCACTGAGATTAAAACGGTTTTTAAACGCATCTGTAAATATACCGGGTGTCGCAATGAGGATGGTAAGCGGCTGTATCTTGGAAAGTATTTGTTGTAGTGTTCGGAAAAAAAATTGATAAGAATCTTGAAGAAATGAATTTGCTGTAAATTATTTTCAAATTTCTCCGATGACCACTGGATGATCTAATTACAAACGGTGTTTTAAAAAGTCGATTTTATACAGAAATTGTCCCAATAAGTGAAACATCTAAGATGTTTAATCAAAATATCATAAAAAACCGTACTACTTTCCTTAAAAGGCTGTACCAGTTTATAAAAAGAGTTGTCATTGAAATCAAACCACTTTTCTAAGTATTCAATCATTCTCTTATACACAGTATTCGCATTCACAAATTTATCGCGTTCTGATTTACTAACCGTTTTCAAAAAATGAAAAATTCCGAAACCAAAGAAACCTTTTTCTAACCTATTTTCTAGTTAATTTTTTAGCTTGCTGAATACATGAAACACTTAAGGGGCTTGTAAGTAATTTCTAGGGAGTGAAAACCAAACGATGGAGATTGAAAGAAGGAGGGCTTGTGTGGGCCACAATTTGCCCTCACCTGGACAAAGTATGGTAACCTCTCTCACATCCAAAGAAATCCTAAATCTCTAATTAATCTAAAGCGGAAGGTGGTCATTCATCAGCATTCTACCGGTCATGCCGTATGGCCTTCACACAAAAAAGTGCCAATCGCCTGAGAGTGTATCAGAGAGCCATCGGACGTTTGATGCCGGGTATTAGCCTCCCAAACAGCACAGATACAAACATAGTACCTTTTATGTACGTACATCTTGTAGAAAATGTACGTAACGTAAACGTAACAAATAGGGCATGTTACGTACATAGTACGTAAAATATCCGATAAGAAACGCACCTCTGGTACACACATACACATATACATACTGTACGTACATACATACATCGAAAACAAGTTATCCTAACAAGTATAATAATGTATATAAAAAATATAAATGTCGTACACACTCAGGGTGTTTGGGCGGGAAATCTACGCAACCAGCGGGAGATTTTCTCCTGAGACATATAGTTGTGGGATTCCATTATCCAATCGAGTCATGGGCAACTTGAACACGATTTGCAGATGATTTTTCAATGGTCTTAATAAACTTCTCAATATTTATAGACGCGCTTTTATAGTGCTTACTAACTCTGCTACTTATTCTGATTAATAACAAAATATGAACTGGAGCTGAGTGAAAAAGTTTTAACCGGACACGTGATACATCTTAAGCGAAAAATGAAGTTATGATGTTTGCGTTATATGATGTCCTTTTTTTTTTTTCCTACAGATGGCTCTGCTCCTTTCGGGCAATTTGCCAGCTCATTCGGGGCGGGAAGATCTTGTCTGGACTTTATCCATATCTGCCCCGCGTGTTGATGTGGAACTTTATTGTGCTGTGGAGTAATTTAACCGCCACCGGGGTTGGTTACCCGATCTTGGTTTATTTGTGTGTTAATCAAAGTCAGATTTAAGGACGAGGTTATATGTTATTGTGAACACTCACAACAGAGGACGAACACAAACGCCACAAAGTACACCACCGTTGATCCTTTGCTCACTGAAAAATGATTACTATTATTGGCTTGAGTTATATGCCTTGCCATCTTATAATTTGATTTTGTTGTAGGCAAGAAATTTAATTAGAATCCTAATTCTGAGGTCTGAAAGATTTGATAAGATACTAGCAATATTTAGGGGGGCTCGGAGACCTGATAAAATCATTTCTTTATAGATGTCAATACTCGGACCATAATTAATTGGGCATTCCAAGAAGATATGGTCCAGAGTCTGCTCCGAGCCACACTCACAACTTGGATCGGCTCTGATCTTAATTCGAAAAAGATGTGACGCTGACAAACAATGACCTGTACGGATTCTTATGATAGTTGTAATATGGTTCCGGTCGACGAACTCTAAATTGTCAAACCACCTCGTTTTTGGGAAGGAGGACACTATCCCGGAGTACCAGATTCCTTTTGTTTTTAATGAGTTTTGCCACGTTTTACAGTATTCATCCCTAATTTGATTTCTAATCTTTGATATGATTTCTGACCTGTCCAGTTCTATCCTCAAGGGGACATTCAAGCCTGTACCTATGTTGGCTAGTTTGTCCACTATGATGTCCTTATTTCAGATTATTTTGCTGCCAGTTCGATGGAACGATGACATTTGGAGGAGGACGGGAGTCTCAGACGTCATGGAAACTGTGGCAAGGAATAAGTGGAGACGGGCTGGGTATGTGGCCAGGGACGATGTCAAGTGGACCAAGGCCATCCTCCAGTGGTGGGAGGGGAACGTGGGGAAAACAAAACAAGTGTTGGGGTAACCCAGAGGAGGTGGAGGGACGACATCTAGAGACACGTCGGCAAAAAATGGATGCAAAGCATTTTTTTGCATACCATAGTGCACGGAATTTTAAAAAATCTGAAATTCGTCTTCCAAGAAGAAAAATCGTCATCTTATAGCATTTTTGGCACCTAGCCGCAGTGGATTGCAGTTATATTATTATTCTTAGATTATTATCTTATATTATTATTCTTTGGCAGCAATTTTTAACACGATTTCAGAAACTTAAAAAAGTGCCACCACGCAAAAGTTGATGACGCCAGTCACCAGAACACAGACATTTAATTTTATGATCATTTGCAGGATGTTAAATGACTATTTCCATTTGCTTGTAGAATATGAATAATTTATTTTATACAAGTATACAAAGTGTATATAAAGATATTTGCACCTTGTGAGTTTGATAATGTTGGTGTATTCCAGTATTCGAGTTTTCGATTATTCGAATATTCGAGTAGGTATTCGAATATTCGAATTGGAGTTATTAGACATAAGTATTCGCTTTTCGAATATTCGAATACTCGAATTATTCTAGTTTGATTTCGGGCCCTAGTTTGTAGCAAGTAGCATGTATAAGTTAAGGCGTTAAATTAATAAGATGCTCAAGATGCGAATGCGATGCTATGGCATACGGGTGCCTGAGCTGACAAATTTTTAGAGGAGACTACAAGTTTTAAAGAATAACTCCCGAAAACTCGTAGTACAAAAAGGAATATTTCAGTTGGTAAGAATCCAACACTACCCAGGATTCGGAACCCTGGGTGTCTTCGCGAAGATATTTTATTCCTCCAGCCGCCGGGCGAACAGAAGCAAAAAAAGGCGTTGTTCTGTGCCAAGTAGTGGTGGGCAAGTCGGGTCATTTCAAATATGATATCTTAAATAGAGCCGTAAAGATTAAATTAGATTTAAGTTTCAATTTAAACTGTAGAGTAGTTTTTTTATATACCAAAGTTTTCTGAACTAATTTATCGAGAAAAGGAATTTGGCTGTTTTGTTCTTTTCCTAGTCATTATCTTAATTTAATGCACTAGTGTGAATTTAAATTATATGTTAATTAAAGTTTTGTATTCCTAAGAAATAATAACATGTTCGTCATTAGGTACTAAAAATTAAAAATACAGTATTTAATTTAGTTGTTTATTTTTATTTCTGAATGAATACGTTTCATTACTTGTTTCTAAGTTCAAAAATATACTGTTTTACGCTGCGTCGTTGTTTTTTTAATGGCTCTAAAACGAAAATTTGCTATTTTGTAAGAAAAATCTATTGAAATGTTGGATAAACATAATGATTACTAATACTGATAAATATACATTAAACTACTATTACTACTATGTAGTACTTTATATGTCTTTATTTCAAACTGCACAACATAAAATGAGACACATTTTTCTTAAGTTATCCGGAATGAAATGCCTAAGATTCGTCGGGACTTAAGGTTCTACATGGTTCTCGACCGGTTAAGTCGAGATCCGGATGTGAGATTCGGATCTGAAATCCGGATCAGAAACACGGCTCTTTTAACCTGACAGAACCCAGAACATTAGTTCGGGTTTCGGGTCCGAATCTCGGCTCGGATCCACTCTGTCTCGACTGGTTCGATAACCGGGTTTACCGTTATACTTAAGCTAAGATATTTTTCATTTTATTAAATTTAATTAACTAAAGTTTTGTAAGTTTTGAAATAATATGTTAAGTTGTACTACAGTTGCACGCTGCTGTATTTCAAGACATAAAAGATCCGTTAAGATCCGAGACTCGTATTTGGAAAATTTCAAGATCCGGATCAGGAAAGGTTTAGCCGCAACGGATAAAAAGTGCCWWTGTCGGCACATTAATTGTAATACCGCGCAAAAGTTGATGACGCGAGTCACCAGCAAGGGCGGATCCAGGTGGTGGGTCATGGGGGTCATGACCCCCCCATTCAATTCTGTATCCAACGATGCCAAAACGAATTCTCTGGCTCGAATGGTTCTTGATAAACTGAGAACTTGAGAAAGTGGATTTTGCACCTCAAAAAAACCACGCAAATCTAAAACTTCTTGACTTCAAGCACTTTTTGAGAAAACTGCCAACATTTTCATATCGATGGTTCACTTTCTAAAAAGGCCATTTATTTCTCTCTAGACTGATGTACAAATTAGCGTTCTTGCTCATTTTGCCTCAGACAAATGAGCAAAAACGAGACGGAAAACATGAAATTTTGGTATAATCTTGCACCTAAGTGTCTGATATTCAAATTTCGCTTTCTGGGTCAAAACTACTCGAATTTCCTCACTCAGGTTGTTACGACTGAGTCGACTTTTCAATTCTCTATCCAACGATGCCAAAACGAATTATGTGGCTCGATTTGTTCTTAAGAAACTTCGAAAAAAGCAGCGTTATGTTCAAGTGGATTTTGCAACTCAAAAAAAAACCACGCAAATCTAAAACTTTATGAATTCAAGCATTTTTTGAGAAAACTGCCAACATTTCGCCATCCATGGTTCACTTTCTAAAAAGGTCATTTATTTCTGTCTAGAATGATGTACAATTGAGCGTTCTTGCTCATTTTAGCTCCGAGATATGAGCAAAAAGGGGACGGAAAACATTAAATTTTGGCATAATCTTGCATCTAAGTGTCTGATATTCAAATTTCACTTTCTGGGTCAAAACTACTCGAATTTCCTCACTCTCCAGGTAGCACAACTGACCAATTAGACATCTGCGAGACGTCCACATTAAGTCATTTTTGGTCAGTACGTCAATTAGAAAAGA